GGAACCACCTCGACCGGGTCCCCGGCCACCTGGACAGTTGTGGGTACGTTGGCGGTAACATTTGTCAACACCTTGGTCTTCCCCATGTGCACCACCAGGCCGTATAAAGCAGCTTCATGTTTCAAGTCTGTGAGCATCTTAATCACGCCCCCCTTGCTTTGTGCGATCAAAAGCACGTCATCTGCAAAGCGAAGGTTGGTGAGTGGGTCTCCAAGCTCGTCGACGACCATGCCGTAATACTGTCCCACGCGGCGTTTATTGAGTCCGTGCAACCTTCTTCAGACTGCGGAAGCACACTTCCATCACTGCGATGAACAAAAGCGCGCTCACTGGGTCGCCTTGTTTCACGCCTCTGGATAAACCGAACGCCCTCGACTCCGCGCCTGCTATGACCGTCGCTGTCTGGTGCCTGTACAACTTTTGCAATTGTCCGATGTACTCTTCTCCGACGCCCAACAAACGCAATGCCATCCATAACGAACAATGCTCCATTGTGTCGAAAGCCTTTTCGACATCCACGAGGCCGATCCACAAGTCCTGCTTCCACTCTGCGCAGCCCTCCACAAGCAACGTGACTGCGAGCATGTGGTCTGGCGTCGAGTACTCTTTTCTGTATGCCGCTTGGTCTGGCGACTGTGCAGAAATTATGATGGGCTGGAGGCGGTCACATAACATCCTGGCAAATAGCTGGTCAAGGATTGGTAATATAGCGATCGGCCGAGAGTTTTTCGGGAGCAGCAGGTCTCCCTTCTTGAACAAGACGACCAAACGCGTTCTCCTCCAGCTGGCCGACGGCTCTGCTTTGGCACTCAACACGTCGTTACACATGCTCAACACGAGATCGCGGAAAGGCTCCCCACTGCATTTCAACATCTCCGCAGCCACGCCAGCTTCGTCACTGCATTTGCCATTCTTCATGTTGGCAAGTGCTCGGTCGAATTCCGGAGAAGTAAAAGCCGGCACAGCTGGAGTAGGGGCGTCCTTTGTGTCATTACTGCTGTTCTGGCACCTCGCGGAGCACAGCTTCTCGCAAAACTTCGCGAAAACCTCTGCGATCTCTTCCTTGGAAGTCCGCATTGTGCCATCATCGTCTGTGGTGCTAGCAAAATGCGTATTCTGTTGTGGGCGTCCCGAAAGCGGAATAGCGGAAACACCATGGAAACTTGTCAACATAGCTTCGATGTTTGCGCTCTTCTGCTCAGCCAGGCTCCGGCGGACAATCTTCTTGATGCTGTTGCTTAGTTGCAGCTGTTGTGTCTTCTTCTCCTGAGCCGTGAGATCATGTCGACGTCGAAGACCTCGACGTTCCTTTATTAGCTCATCGATGTTCTTCCGCATGCCACTGGTCACCTTCTTGTTGCCCTTGGGCGTGGCATGTGAGAGAGCGCCCGTCATGGATTTCAAGAAAGAGAGCCTTGTCATTGATGTCCGGGCTGTTGGCGGGATACCCGTCGCAACAAGAATCCAGAGTCTGAGCGTACAGCCGGGTGTCTACTCGAGGATTCCATTTCAATCGGCGTGTTCCGGGCAGTTTGCGGTCAACTGGAAGTATCGAAATCGTCATTTCCACGGCGCGATGATCAGACCCCGTGTCCAGCCAGGGCGCCACACCGCAGTGCAGAATGTCCTTCCGAAACCTTTTTTCCAATAGTCTATAATAAATTGCTTACGGAGGTCTCCATGGCTGTACGTCCATAGCTTGGCGTCTTCGATGCTCGCGAATGTGTTTGCAAAGGACAAGTTGTGTAAGACGCACCACTGCAACAAGCTCTCGCCTCGGCTGTTCCTCATTCTGATGGGGTTCAGGCCCATCACGTCGTCATCGCAGTCATCTGCGCGAGGGCCGACTTCTGCGTTGAAGTCGCCGGCCAGAATAAGGCGCATCCCATTCGATCCATACTTCCGCATGTGTTCTGCCAGCATTGCGTAGACCACCTCGACCTGCGCCTCCTCCTTTGCAGCGTGTGGCATGTACACTGCCAGAAGTTGAAAAGCAACGCCCGCAATACTCATCCCTACAGCTGCGGCCCTATCAGAATAGGCCCGGAAGGATGTATGCGACCAGCGTCTGTGTAACAAAATGCCCACTCCGTTTCGTCCTTTGCTTCCACCGCTTCCCAGCCACGTATGTCCCCCGACAGTTGTGAAAACTTCATTGTCCTCCTCCCTCCACGTCTCTGTGAAGACGATGGCATCCCAGCGCCGAAACCCAACCTCAAGAAGTATACATTCCAACCGTTGCGAAAAATCCATAAAAGAATAATTTTTGTACGTAAGCAGCGCGAACTTTATAATATTGGAGTTGCCGTTCTGGATTTAGATGGGTACGTCACCGCATACATGAACATATGTTCCTCGCCCTCCTCCTGCTCCTCTATGTGGAATTTGTGCTGAACAGGGCTGTGAAGAAATCCTTGGAAATGCCTGTCTATCTACACTGCTTGACCGGGTACCTGCGCCCCTTTGTGCGCTTCACTCTTTGTCCTGCCTTTTGCCCCTCCACTCCTCCACCCCATCCACGACGGGCTGCTTCACCATCTTTGCCTCGTATTCTGCGGTTATCTCTGCGTCATCACTCACCCATGCCACTTTCTTCCCCTTCAAGCTTACGACGCCCTTCCGCCAATTGATGTGGACGTCGGACTTGTCTACGCTGGCGACGGTGATCAAATTGTGCTTCAACAGGCCAAGCGTCTTGTCCCGGAGCCTCTGCTCAAAGGTCCGGTTATTCGTAAACCACAATGTGACACCCCCCTCCACGTCCTTCGAAACTGTCTTGATCTTTTTGTAAAAACCTATCTTGGCCGCCAGCGACTCGAACTGAATCACACCGATGCGAGACGGATCACTGAACGTGAAGACCCGACTCACTTTCTTCCGACGGGTACCCTCCGTCAGAAACTTTTCAATCACCTCCGCAATATGGTCTCCATCCGTGTCCTCCCCAAACCCGCCAACAATCACCTGCAACTCCCTCGCGCCTTCCTCCTCCACCTCCTCCACGTCCCTCCCATCGCCCTTGTTGCCGTGGTTGGTACCGTTGTTGTGGACGTTGCTGTTCATCGCCTCTGTGATCATGGTCTGTGCCGCCTCCTTCGTGATGTACTGTGTGTTGAGCTCGTTTTTCATCTCCTCTATCTCCTGCTCCACTGCTTCCGCAATGGTCTGTGCCTCCGTTGCTGCCGCTGCCTCCAACTCCGCCTCGTACTTCGCGTTCTCAGCGATGTCTTTCACCTCATCTAGCTTCTTGGCGACCCGTGTGAGTTTCGTTCCCACCTGACTCTGGAACCTGTGGAACTCACCCATGAATGCCTGGAACCATACCGGTGCATCCTCCATAGCTCCCTGGCTGCTTCCCTTGCTTACTTCCTGTACTTCTACGTCTGAATCCCCCGAGTCCCCGATCGCCACGTCCTCCAGTTCCTTGATCTTGTCCTTCCAGATGCCTTTCCGCTCCGGTGTGAAGCCCGTCTTCTCTCCCGCCCGCGTTTGTTTATCCCCCGTCTTCTGCATTTTTCTCGATGTGGTGCTTTATAGCCTAGCCCCCCCCTGAAGCAGTAGTTGACAATCAGGCCGATCCCGACGTCAACTATGACAGAGTTACGAGAAATGAGTGCGCTCAAATGGTTACTTGAGTCAAACGGCTTGAGCCAAAATGGCATGGGGTGGCGGTGATTCGCCGTAGGCGTCTTAGATAAGCCGTCATGGCGTCGACGAAATTGCATCACCAATGCCACTGGCAGACCAGTGCAAGCCGCACCATGCTCTGAGAACATGGCAGCCGACGTGTCCCGATTCCGCATTGCCAACTCTGAGCTGTCCAAACACATTGTGTTGCGGTCTGGATGTCTGCTTCTGAGCGAATGAGACGTCATGGATATTTCGCTCGAGAAATAAGCACTGGGTGCTATCCTCCGAAATGGCAAGGGCCTGACTTGGACACTGACCTGACGCTGCTCCTGCCCCACCGAGACAGCGTCCTGGGTAGAGTAGCTCGAACAGGTCAGGGGCGTGGCAGAGGCATCGGCCAGGGCAGAGACAACACCAACTACAAGGGTAAGGACACCAGCCAAGACAGATGAATCCCATACTCGCTTCACATCGGCGGATACTACCGCTTTTGCGCGAGTCGAAGGTTTCAACACGCTGCGGACGCCCCATCGTCATTCACCACGGCCTCCCAATCAAAAGCACCGTCCCATGACACTTGTCGCAAAGGTTTCCTGCTGGGGGGCATTGGGACAGCGAGTGCCCACACCAACGCACAATCTGCATTTGTGGACACAAGGTGGGACGCTGAAATGAAATGGGCTGGATTGGTACCTGCGGCGAGATAGCTCATTACCAGCACTCCAGGTGGCGGAACACCACTTGGCGTCGGCACCATCCAAGAGCAAATCTGGAACTTGGTTACTGAATTTGTTGTAAGAGGGGGGTCAAGATCGGGGGCGTCAGCAAAAAAGGCCACGACGAAAATGGGGACGGGAGAGAAGGGTTTCACTCTTGTCGCTCTTCCATCTCACGCAAAAAGACGGTGCGAGAGAGGATCTACGCTCTTTCGCTTGACCTTGTCGCGCTTAGTTATTCACTGGTTACGTGGTGAGTCCAGCTTTACCGCATGCTCGGTTTCAAGCTCGTGCCTGATGGCTACGCACGATGTCCGCAACAGCCGCCGCCAAACATCTACGGTCGGTGATGCTTGCTTCGCGTGTCACGGCGGCGGCGCCGGCGCTCCGCCGTGCCCTGCAAACTGATAGCGTGCCGCTCCGATTCGAGCGGCGGGAGGCGAGAGGCTAGGAAAGGCTGGAGACGTCGACGCTTGGGTTAGGTCGGGCGTGTCCTCTTACCCAAACTTCTGTTACTATTTGTGAATCGTCCTCCTGTAGGGGCACGTGCCCGACTTAACACTAACCCCTCCTCCATCCATCATCGATCCTGCCAGAAAAGACGAGAGAGGGAGGGGGCGTGAACCCGACAGGCAGGACAGGCACCGCCAGAGCCTGAAAACTCTAGGAGCTCGTCGAGCTGGTCCGTGGGGAGCGGCTTGGGCCGAAGGTACGTGTAACACCACCTCGGGAGGATCGCCCAGCATCCTTCTCCCTCACATCCTCCCAATCCTCACCCCCATGTATCTCCGCCTGCCCGTCCTGCTTCTCCTGCCGCCTGCTCATGATCCTCCTCCTCTTTCTCCTTCTCCTTCTCCTCATCTGTCATCTCTCCCTCCCTCCCTCTCTGCCTATCTCCCTTCGTCCCTCCCTCCCTTGCCTCTCTCCCTCCCCTATTCCTCCCCCTCCTCCCTCTTCCCTCGTCCCTTCTCCCGTTCCTCGTGTTTCTCCTGCACCTCCATTTCCTGCTCCACCTACTCCTCGCACCTTTTCTGCGCCTCCCACTCCTCCGCCCCCTCCCCCTTCTGCGACCTCTGAGCCTCGTCGTGCACATCCTGCTCCCTCTGCATCCTCATCGCCCTGCGCCTTTGAACTGCTCGTTGCCATGATTTCTCCCCCTTCTCCCCCTTCTGCCCGGTGAACATGGGGCCCTTGGCCCCCGGGGGGGTGCCGCTGGCACGGCGGCTTCGACACACTCTGTTCTCTAGCCCTGGCTGCAAGACTACAAAATCTTGCAGTGGGTCTGCTGGGACCTGCTCGGGGCGCTCGTGAAGGTCGGGGGCCCCAGGGCTTTTTTTGCATGGTTCTGGAGAGGCGACCAAGCCCTGTCGCCTGAGGCTGCCCCGTGTCAAGGCCTCCACTGCTCTCTGCGAGCTTCGTGGCGCCAATGCTGCTACGGCGAGGAACTTTTGCTAAGCGTGCCGCGGCGGCGGCCCCGGCGAGACGCTACTGATAGAGCGTCGCCTCGCGGGGACCGGGATGCGGTTCGCGTGTCGTGCCGAGGCAAGGTGGGCTAGAACCAGCGGAGCGAAACGCTGAGCCAAAGTTCCCGACCGTAATCCTGCTAAGCCTCCTCCCTCCTCCATCCTCCCTCCTCCTATCCTGTCCAGCCCTCCCTCCTGACGTCACTTGTCCCGTCCCTCGCCTATCGCCCATCCCTCGATAGCCACCATACCTCGTCCTTCGCCCCTCGACACACCTTCTTCATGAGCCCTCCTCTTCCTCGACCCCCTCCTCCTCCCACCTCCTTCCCTCTTCCCTTCTCCGTCCTCTTCCTCCTTCTCCGCTTGTCCCTCAATCCTCCTCGTCATCATCCCCCTAATGCTGATTTTGCTTGCCCCTGCCCCCGCTCCAACTCCAGCTGATGCAGATAATACTGGTCCTGCTCCTCCAGCTCTCATGCCACTCCTCCTCCTCCTCCTCCTCCTCCTCCTCCTCCTCCTCCTCCTCCTCCTGCTCCTGCTCCTGCTCCTGCTCCTCCTCCTCCTCCTCCTCCTCCTCCTCCTCCTCCTCCTCCTCCTGCCCACCCAAGCCCGTGCTCCTGCTGCTGCCGCTGCTCCTCCTGCTCCCTATGATTATCGCCATGCTCGTCCTCTTCGTGCATCTCGTCCTCATCCCGCGAGTCATCCAACTCCTGCTCCATGCTCCTCTGCCTCCCCCCCGCTCATCTTGCTCTTCCTTCTCCTTCTCCTTCTCCCCTTCCCAGGCCTCAAATGTAACGACAAAACTCGTGACGTGGGCCTGGGCCTCTCGACCCCTTGCCTAAAAAACGTGCTGTTGCATCCCAGGTCCTTTTGTTGCCGGCCCCTGGTCGGACGCTGGGCGAGGGCTGGCAAACCCGTGGCTGCTAAAGCGGTTTCCCCAGAACGAAATAACACATTCCCGGAATAAGACTCAGCGCACGAAATAATAAACGGACTGCTTCCCAGAAAAAAACACATTCCCGGAATAAGACTCAGCGCACGAAATAATAAACGGGCTGCTTCCCGGAGAAAACAAAACACGGAGCTCCGTTTTAGCAGCCACGGGTTTGCCAGCCTTCACCTGGCTTCTGACCTGGGCCCCGAAGTGGCCACTGGAAGCCCGAATCGAGGGACAGCCAGTCGTCTCGATGCTTCCATGACGACTCGGGAATCCTCGGAGGTACTTCACATGAAAGGGTCCTGCACTCTCCATCCTCGAACAGACTAGCCCCACTTTCTCCTCTGATCTCAATTTCCCCATCATCTCCCTGTCATGCCGTTTCGTTGTTTAAGGACGTCCGGGTGCGATCCAACAAAACGCTCAAAAACCTCGATCGCCGAGCACTCGGACACACGCACCCCCCACAGGTGTCGGTAGAGCGTCCTGGGCGGCTCGCCTGTGACTGCCCTGCGGCTTCTGACCCTGAGGCGTGAAGCTTGCAACGGTTACGCTGAGGGGCCTGTTTTCCACCACCACTGCCATATGTTGGAGGGGGAGGGGGTCCTCCTCCTCCTCCTCCAGCACCTCCTCCAGCACCTCCTCCTCCTCTTCGTCCTCCTCCTCCTCCTCTTCGTCCTCCTCCTCCTCTTCGTCCTCCTCCTCCTCTTCGTCCTCCTCCTCCTCCTCCTCGTCCTCCCCTCCCTCCCCCCTCCAACTGATGGTGGTGGTGGTGGTGGAAAACCGGCCCGTCACACACGTATGGAAAGGGGGTGGTCCTCACCGGGGCCCCCGCCCCAGCGCCGCGCAAGCGTCCTTCTGAAGCACGGCAGCGGCTACGGTCGGGCTGCTGAAGTAAGGAACGCTGGATAGAGGCACGAAGCCCCGCTTCGTCCCTCCTCCTCCTCTTCGTCCTCCTCCTCCTCTTCGTCCTCCTCCTCCTCCTCGTCGTCCTCCTCCTCCTCCTCGTCCTCCTCCTCCTCCTCTTCGTCCTCCTCCTCCTCGTCCTCCCCCTCCCTCCCCCCTCCAACTGATGGTGGTGGTGTGGTGGAAAACCGGCCCGTCACACACGTATGGAAAGGGGGTGGTCCTCACCGGGGCCCCCGCCCCAGCGCCGCGCAAGCGTCCTTCTGAAGCACGGCAGCGGCTACGGTCGGGCTGCTGAAGTAAGGAACGCTGGATAGAGGCACGAAGCCCCGCTTCGTCCCCCTCCTCCTCTTCGTCCTCCTCCTCCTCTTCGTCCTCCTCCTCCTCTTCGTCCTCCTCCTCCTCCTCCTCCTCCTCCTCCTCTTCGTCCTCCTCCTCCTCGTCCTCCCCCTCCCTCCCCCCTCCAACTGATGGTGGTGGTGGTGGTGGAAAACCGGCCCGTCACACACGTATGGAAAGGGGGTGGTCCTCACCGGGGCCCCCGCCCCAGCGCCGCGCAAGCGTCCTTCTGAAGCACGGCAGCGGCTACGGTCGGGCTGCTGAAGTAAGGAACGCTGGATAGAGGCACGAAGCCCCGCTTCGTCCCCCTCCTCCTCTTCGTCCTCCTCCTCCTCCTCGTCCTCCTCCTCCTCGTCGTCCTCCTCCTCCCCTCGTCCTCCTCCTCCTCCTCTCCTCTTCGTCCTCCTCCTCCTCGTCCTCCCCTCCCTCCCCCCTCCAACTGATGGTGGTGGTGGTGGTGGAAAACCGGCCCGTCACACACGTATGGAAAGGGGGTGGTCCTCACCGGGGCCCCCGCCCCAGCGCCGCGCAAGCGTCCTTCTGAAGCACGGCAGCGGCTACGGTCGGGCTGCTGAAGTAAGGAACGCTGGATAGAGGCACGAAGCCCCGCTTCGTCCCCCTCCTCCTCTTCGTCCTCCTCCTCCTCCTCCTCCTCCTCCTCCTCCTCCTCCTCCTCCTCCTCCTCCTCCTCCCCCTCCTCCTCCTCGTCCTCCCCCACCCTCCTCCCTCCGGAACGCTGAATAGAGGCACGAAGCCCCTCTGCGGCTTCAAGAGAAAGCCCGGGTGCGCGAGACGGGCTGGCGGAGCAGCCACGGAGGGACGCGAGGGACCTCGAGCCCCATTCCGAGTCCAAGCTGTTCCTGATTTCAGCGGTCTTGGCTGTACGATGATGGAGGGCAGGGCTGAACCTGAACGGTGCTTCCCGTTTTCGTCTCATGTTCGTTTTCCCCTCGTTTGGTCTCCAGGCCGCCTCTGACGCAAGACGGAGTCAGAACGACAACGGCCCACGAGGTCGCCAAAACACCGCTCAGGTCCACCCCTGGTGGAGGGCGGCTCCCTGTCAGCGTGGAGCTCCAGCAGCAGCGCCGCGCACACTCGTCCTGCATGGCTGCAGCAGCTGCTGGGGTGGAGGGCGGCTCCTATTTTCAAAACGGCACTCCCGCCTCGGCGCCGCGCACATTCGGCTCAAAAGCTTGCATCGGTCACAAGGGTGAAGGGCGGCGCCGTTTCGAGACGGGGCTTAAGCTCAGCGCCGCGCACATCCGCCCGAAAAGACTGCAGACAGTGACGGAGGGCGGCGCACTTTCAAGATGAGACTCTCGCTTCAGCGCTGCGCACATTCATCTCGAAGCATAACAACGGCTACAACGACAGGTGACGCTTCGTTTTCAAATGGGACTCCCGCATTGGCTCTGGGCACATTTCGCTTTACAAGTTTGCATCGCAGCTGCACGGGTGGAGGCCGGTTCCGTTCAACGGGGGGCCCCCGATTTGGACAAGAAGCAGCTCGATGCAGCACTTGTGCATTTTCTGCGCGGACGAGGGGCGGATCCTCTTCAAGACGAGGCTACACGTCGGTCGGAAGAAGTAGGTAAAAACATGAAGTAGGAAGGCGGAATAACAAAACACACCAAAAGCGTGTCGATTCTTGAAGTAGGAAGGCGCTTGAAGCAGATTGGGATCTGGGAATCCAAAAATACCTACTTTCAGCGACCGGCGTGTACTTATGCATTTTCTGCGCGGATGAGGGGCGGATCCTCTTCAAGACGAGGCTACCGCTGGACGCATCGTTCAACTGTACATTCATAGCTCTCCGTAAGTACCCCTTCTGACTCGCCAGAAGGCTTGGCTCGTTGGGAAGAAATGCCCTGGGCGTTGTTGTACTGCTTTGCACTGCGGCTCCTTTACAAGATAAAAACGCGTTTCAAAAACGCGACGGCTTTTGAGCGTTGTTAGCTCCGTTTGTTGTTAGCGTGTTCAGGCCCGTCGCTATGGATCATAATTTGTTTAGCGTTTTGCACTTTCTGGTCGAGGGCTGGTGTTTGTTTTCCCTGCTGCCTTCGCTTCCGCTTTTCCGTTTCTGCCGCTGTTCTCCCTCCCAGAGCTACAGACGCAAGAAAACGCTCTAACACCGCTCTAACATCGGCCCGAAACAGGCCCGGAGGCCAGAGGGCCCCAGGAGGAGCAATCGGCCAGCGGGTTCGGAAGCCCGACGCCCCAACCAGCAGCAGCACAAGGAACGATAAAATCCACGTAGGCCGAAAGACTTTCCTCTTGAGCCCCAAATGTCGCAAGCGACGTACCTTCAGGTGAGCGGATACACGTAGCGCACCCTTCGGCTTGGGGCGTGCCATATGTTAGTGGAGGAGATGGGGGAGTTTGCCGGGCCCGCTGTGGCGTTCGAGCAACCTTATGTTATGGTAGGATTTCTGGGAGATGGCCAGGCCCGCTGTGGCGCTCCAGCAACCACCTGTTAGGAGAGGAAAAGAAGGAAGTGGGTGGGCCCGCTGTGGTGTTCGAACTTCCGATATTGACACTTTGCTTGTGTGTCCTCATGTTCCCCGTCCTCCCTCTTCCGTCCTTCCCCCCACCTCCTCCCTCCTGCCCCCACGTCCTCCTCCCTCCTGTTTCTCCTTCCGCATCCCTCCTCCTTCCTTCTCCTCCTCCCCTTTCCTCCTCCCTCTTCCCCACCTCCCTGCTTGTTCCTCCTCTGTCTTACCTCCTCCCGTCCCTTCTCCCCTCCTCCACCCTCCTCGTGCCTCCTCCCTCCTCTTTCCTCTCTCCGTCCTGGGAAGACCCCCCCTCCCCCGTATAATCATAGCTTTGGTCAGCAGATCCACAAGTTCCGTGGATAGCATGATGTTTCGCGTGCGGTGCCCCACGGGTTCCATTTCCCCTGGGCCCGGGATGTTAATTATCATTCCCAACCCTCCTTGGTTGGGAATTCGTTTTGAATAGAGCACTGCTCGCGCGTCCTCCTCCCGCCTCCCGCCTCCCGCCTCCTGCCTCCCGCCTCCCGCCCCCCCTCCTTCTTGTCTCCTCTTGCCTTGCCTGGGGGGCTGCGATCTGCGAAACAGTCGCCACTTTCGAGGGCTGCTGGTGGGTCCAGCGGAGCGAGGCACCGCGCGGATCTGAGCGGGACCTCCCCGTCCCTGGGGGGCTGCGATCTGCGAAACTGTCGCCACTTTCGAGGGCTGCTGGTGGGCTCGCCACGTTCAAAGGCTGCTGGTGGGCCCAGCGGAGCGAGGCACTGCGCAGACATGAGTGGGGCCTCGCCGGCGTCAAGCCCCTTGCCTACCGTCTCCTTTTGGACCCTGCGTTGTCCTTAGTGGCTCAGGGCTTCACTTAGTTACTCATCGTTTGTTCCCCTTGATTGGGGACCTGCGAACCTTCCGAATGCCGCTCGCAGAAGTATATGCGTCCATGTCACGTCGCCGCCGTCTCGTCAAATCTCCCAAGCTGTTCCTGCCCCGCATTGCACCATCATCATCATCATCATCATCATCATCATCATCATCATCATCATCAGCATCATCATCATCATCATCATCATCATCATCATCATCATCATCATCATCATCATCATCATCATCATCATCATCATCATCATCATCATCATCATCATCATCATCATCATCATCATCATCATCATCATCATCATCATCATCATCATCATCATCATCACATCATCATCATCATCATCATCATCATCATCAGCAGCATCAGCATCAGCATCATCATCATCATCATCATCATCATCTTCATCATCATGATCTTCTTCATCATCATCAGCAGCATCATCATCATCAGCATCATCATCATCAGCATCATCATCATCATCATCATCATCATCATCAGCATCATCATCATCATCATCATCATCATCATCATGATCATCCGGAGCGTCCCGGATCGGCGGCACTGGCTGGAGGCCACTACAATCTCCCAAGCTACTCCTGCCCCGCATTGCGCAGGGGTTGGGTACGTCGCCAGGGGAATTCTATGCATTCCCGGAAAACATATGGATCCACTTGTTTTCCACACACGGGAATTTAATCCGCGCAAGACAGAAATAGGACCCACGATTCTGTCGCACACCTGGAGAGGGATCCAAATTGACCCATCGGAGTCTTCATACTTGTAAGTTCAAGAGGAAATCAGTTTTCGGCCTGGGGATGCAATGATAAGAGCAATATAGGAAGGACTGGGCGCATGGAGAAGGAACTGGGGACTTCGTAGACGGCAATGTTTAAGCACATAGTCAACTCATCTGCAAACAATGAATAACGTAGCTAACGACGCAAAGAAAGCTGATTCGTTGGTGTATCGATTTGTTGTTTTTGCTGGGACCTAAAAGCGCGAACAAAAAGTATGTCCAACACCCAGAATACAAAAAAAACGGTAGAAACAAACCCTGGGCGACGTCAAGAAGAACCAAGCTATAATGATGCTCGACGGTTTCGTTTACGGGATCAATCGCCTGGAATGGCAGACAGATGGTGTGCTTGTTTTTCACGGGGCCGCTAATTATGGTGATTGGGAAAGCTTGTGGGGACTTCTGAGGAGGGGACTTGGGACGGGAGATGTGATTGCAGCCACGTTGACGCACCCTGGGATTCCCCCTGTCTCCCCCTCCTCCTCCTCCTCCTCCTCCTCCTCCTCCTCCTCCTCCTCCTCCTCCTTACCCTCCCACTTGCTCCTCCCCCTCGTCCTGCATCATCCCCATCTCCTCCCTATCATCTTCATCCTCCGCGACACTAAGATCAACATCGCTACCATCATTATAAGAACCGTCATCATCATAAGCAGCATCATTATCATAGTCATCATCAACATCATCATCACAACCATCACCATCACCATCACCATCACCGATCACCATCAGCATCATCATCGTCATCAGCATCATCAACACCATAATCATCCTCATTCTCATCATCATCGCCATCATCATCAGCATCATCAGCATCGGCATCATCGTCATCGCCATCATCATCATCATCATCATCAGCAGCAGCAGCATCATCATCATCCTCACCGTCGTCGTGTTCGGCATCAACACCGTCATCGTCACCATCATCACATCACAACCATCACCATCGCCATCGTCATCGTCAACATCAACACCACCACCCGCCCGCGCCCATCGGCAGCCTGAGCATTGGGCTCGATCGGCCGCGCCTGACAGAGGGCCAGCTGAGGGCATGGCTTGTACCACAGGACCATCTTGTGCATCAGGGGGGC